TCTGATGGTTTATTTATATGTTTGGCTCGATTTTCAACAATGTAAGATCAACTGGATTGAATCATTGAATTTGCCGCATTTGGGTCCGTTATTATTCAAGTTTAAACATGTATGAGCATGTATTAGGCCTAATTATTCATAATGCATTTTGTAGTCCATATACGCTTCAACTTTGATCTAACATTAAAAATGGATTTTTGTAACATCATTGCACTTCCTTTCGGGACAAGAGGCCAAAAGTAGGTTTCTACAGTTAGCCTCCACTTTGATCAAGTCTAGAATAGACAATGATCAAAGTAGTCAAGGAAATAAATCTGAGACTCATTTTGCGAAGTTCTCAAAGAATAGAGAATCTTTCAGAAATGTTTAGGATGTCGAAACGATCCTTGATTCGCTAAGTGTTTGAGACAAGTAGCTATTAAGGTAAGAAAAAGTATTTTCTAGTCTTAGTGCGCTAAAGAATCTAGATTGATCCTTTGCAAATGTAGAACACTTTCACAAGTAAAAGTGTTCTGGGTGATGTCATGTCATGAGAAGAAATCGGTTTAAAAAGGATTAAAAGGGGATGATGTCCTCCCAATCATGTCATTGTTGGTCTAAAGTCCCTCGATACATCATTGAAACTATAGCCTGATTTTAACAATTTGAAAAGATGTTAAAAATTATTTCGGCTTTCACAACCTAAATGTTTTGGCTTTTGCAACCTAAATGTTTCGGATTTCGCAGCCTGAATAAAATTCTTGACAGTTCGCTTGTGAAAACGCAATAATCGGTGTCCACAAGATAGAAATACATGTCACAAGACTGGAGGCATATATCTAAATGCAGTGAGAGAGATGAAAATCAGCAACTCTCTTTGCAGTTTTTTCCACAAGATGAGTACACATGTCTCAGGACTGGGGGCACATTCCTACGTAGGTGTGACATCGTCTCATCGCTCTTTATAAAGGGGGTGGACGACACCCTAAATGTCCGGTAAGCCAGTAAGCTCATTAACTACCGTATTTGCTTTAAATCAAGAAGTGTATGTTCCTTAATGGTTAGGTGCGCGTGTTTACTTGTGAGCTAACGCCTAAAGTAAAGTAATTCTACTTTTTAGTTCCGAGAGGTAGATCTCGCAAAGCTGGAGAAGAGGTGAAATTTTCCACAACAGCTACGCCATACAATTTTACGCTGTATGATAACGCCTTGCATTTTTACACTACATGATAACGCCTTCCTTTTTGTTGTGGATGTGAAAAAAGAAGAAAATCTTGACATTTATAACGTCACTACAGTAAAATCACAAACCTGTCTATGGGAGCTTTTACGTAAAGCACCACTAAGAATGGTCTTAAGACACTCGTACGAAAAACGTCCAAAACGTGTGCTCAGGTTAGGCACAAACCGTGGTGTGCATGCAGGATGATGCAAAAAACTATCAAAGAAGAAAAGAAAAATAACTGGATGCAAAGCAATTTCAAAAGATTTCGATAATTCGCGCGTTCTTACCTCTAACAACGTACAAAATCGTTGGGAAAAATTCGAAACGGATCGAAATACGATTACTAGTCTTTTAAGTGACCAGTGTCCGCGCGCAACATAGTAAGTCGCGCTGCCCAAGCGCGCACAAGAAACTAGGCTGCCTTGGGATGCCACGCGCATTTTGATGAGTTGCGTGAAACATTTGAATTAGTAAAAGACTTGGAGAAGCGCGATCTGCAGCTCACTTTCTTCTTCTCCTCTTTCTCCAATTTTGAACTCTTCCCATTTTTTGGTTGTCGTTTAAAGCTAAGGAGGGTAAATCTTGCTCCTTTTATTTTACCAGACAATGATCTTTGTCAATAAAATGGAGAAATCAAATGAATAATCCTAACTTGGAGTTGAGGTTTTCAATTCGACTTGTTTTCATTATTTTGTTTGTTTGTCGTTGTTTTAAGAAATATATTGCAACAAATTTCATGCGAAGTTGTAAAGTATTGATCCTGTATGAGCATGTCAAGCATATATGTGTTTTTTTTTTCATTCTAATTTTAAATTTTTGCTTGAACTTTATTTCTCTTTTTTGCTCACATAGACTATACTTGTTAATTTTAATGTAAATTGATGTGTTTTGAACAAAAAATTATGCATTAAAATTATAAATGAAATTTTGAACTTTGATAATATTAGAATTTTTTCTTGCGACTCATGTTTATTTTTTTTCATGCGTAAGTTTTAAAATTGGCTTTATCAATGATAAAAATAAGCGATGGTTATTATTATCCACTTACAAAACTGTGATTTCAAGATTTGCACAAAACTAGTTAGTTTAGGAAATGCTTAAAGAGATCATCGAACTGATGTAGCTTGGTTATATTTCGGGTTCATAAGCCCCCATTTTATATTTTCGAATGTTGTAGCCCCCAGTGTTGGGTGACTTCGATGATTTTCTTGTTGTTAATAATTAGACCCTTTCATGTTGCTTGAAATGGGTCTAAAAATCCTGTGTTTCTTCTTATTATGATAACAACTAGGATCTTGGAAACGATTAAACTAGTGTGTTTAAATCGTTTTTGACCATTCATAGTTTTAACAAAGGAAATTTGCTAAGTCTAGTAATATTGGTCATTCATTAGAAAAAATGAGAAGAAAAATGAAATGTTGTTCAAATTTTTTGTCTATTCTTACAACTTTTGAATTCTTTCTTTTGAGTTAAAATTTGTCACTATTTTGAAGCTTGAGATAGTAGATGTTATCCTCCTTGAGAAATTCCAATGTGTGCAAAAATGGAGAATAATTTTAAATGAAGACTCCTTAATTTAGAATTTAAGAGTCTTTTGTTTACATTCTAACTCATAAAATTATTTGTCTTATGTTAATAAAGTGCCTTGATACAATTTTCATGATGAATGATTGAGTACTAAACTTTCGTATCAACAAGAGTTATTTTTTTTTTTTTTTTTTTTTTTTTGTGTATCATGATTTTGTTTCTTTGATCTATACTAGTCATACTCTCTGACCTTTAGAGTAAATTGAATTATCTAAACAACAATTATGCACTAAGATTAGTTTTTGAAGTTGAACTAGAAAATGGCTCGAATATGTAACCTGTTTAATGGCCAAGTTTAGTTGCAAACTTAGTTTTCAAAGGAACAAAATGATTATTAAATCATTGTGATGCATTTGAAAATTGTAAGGCTCGAGATCTACGTAAACCATTTGTAGCTTAGGAAATTCCAGAAAGTAGTTCGAATGGCATGAACATCTCATTTTATTTTTTATTTTTTTGCGGATATTAGAGCCCCCATGTGTCAGGTTATGCGCATTCTTGATATTTCACAAGTCTTGCAGCCCCCCATTTTGGGTAGTTCTAATGACTTGTTATTGTTTAGGCCATTCATATGATACTGAGGTGGACCTTTGTATATTTGACGAGGGGTGGAACTAGGTCCTTGAAACTAATCCTCCCTCGGTCAAACTAAATTTATAAACACTTAACAAACCTATATACTAGTATAGAGGCAAGTCAAGGGTCCAATCCAAAGGAACGGTAATGTTCAAGCACTCTCAATTATGTGCCTAAGCTAGGTCGAAGTCAAAGATAAAGAGAGAACACTAACAACTAACAAACAAAGAAACCAAACAAATAAAGCACTACGAACGGGGATCAGCAGTAATCATGACAATTGTAGCAACTCGGGAACAATATGCAAATCAATGGTTGTGAAGAGAAATGGAAAGCTCTACTAGTATAAAAAGGCTCATTTGTGTCGCTCATTTATAGCGTATTTGCGTCGTTTCTATGAGCAACGCAACTGCTTGTGACGCAAATGATTTAAAAGTCATTTGCGTCGCTCCTATGCGTGACGCAAATAAGAGTCATTTGCGTCACTCCTTTATAAACAAGTGACGCAAATAAGAGTTATTTGCATCGCTCCTTTATAAAGGAGTGACACAAATAGCTGTTCTGAGCAACTTCTTGTTTGTTATTTGTGTCACTTGTTTATATAGGAGTGACGCAAATGACTGACTAGACAATACAAAATTGCTTTATTTGCGTCACTTGTTTGTTTAATGAGTGACCCAAATTATGTGAATTTTTTTTTTAAAATTAAAATAATTGCTTGTATATGTTTGTAGTACCTGTTTTCCTTGCTAGTGGTATAAAGTAATATGCTAACGCCAATAATTGAAATTAAAATCCAATATTAATCAATGCAAATGTAAATTTCGGCAGAGTCTCCTTTGTATTTTGGCCTACCCATAAAATTGGGAATGATGGCATTATATTGACAACTTGTCCTATAATTTACATCTCAATAGCATACACATTATACTCATCATTTGAACACCAATTAACCAAAATCATTCATGTCAAGCCTATAATCCAAAACAAGAGCCCAACATGCGCTAAGTGTAAATCTAAAGTTCAACATTACATATAAAATACTCTGCCCAAATATCTCGAATCTCATTTATCTCCTCCTCGATATACGGTGTAGTTCTTGAAAAATCCTTTCAACACAACAAATATACAAGTGGAAAGTTTTAATTCAAGATAGTAGCTAACATTAAATTGTATTTATCAAACAAAAATGAAATATTTGACAACTCATACCTTGATAAGATCCTCACTGCTATGATGATGTTCAAGTATTTCGTACATATAACGCATGTAATATATTTATAAGTTTTAATTCAAGTATTTCAAGTAGCCACACTCACGTCCACCCAATTGTTGAGGACACTACATGTAATATATTTATAAGTTAAATTAAATTGCTATACTTAAATTATTAACAAACTAAAAGTTAGGGTAAGAAATTAAGGTCATCTGTACCAAATTCCATGTCAATTTACTTCCCCTAGATTGTCCACTTAATGCCTTGAAACTTCGAAAAGCACTACACATTTGAAACAAATAACATATTTATACATAATATGTAAAACCATCTATTATCCTTACACACACATAAAATCATGACATTAATAACAAACTAGACTTACTTTGTCATTGCAAACTTAGTTGCTAAATTTCGCTTCTGCTTCAAAGAATCAAAGATGATGACTTCACGCTTAGCCATGCATAAGACCAAAAGAATCCAATGATTCCTACATAATAAATTAGACACACATTTGTAAATGAGTAAAATAATATCAACAATTTGCAAAGTTCAAATAAATACCAGTTCAAAGTTTATACTTTTCATGGTATGGGCATAAGATGAACTGCTTAGATTTTTGTTTTTCCATCACATGTGTCATGTATAGTAGGATACGATCTGCATCACTATGCAAATAGGTTTCTGAAATCATTTCCGGACACATGAATCCAATGGAAGCCACATCCACCGTATCGAGTATGTCACTCAAGGCTCTACATATATATCATGTAATAACATTATAAATGGTAATAAAGTATATATGGGAAGAGTGAAATTTGAATATCTTACATCATAAAAACTTGCAAAATTGAAATATTCAGCCATGCTCTCGTGAGAAGTTGATTGACATCTTCACGTCCGATAATGATGTCCTTACTGTCTTCATAACTAAAGGTCCAAGCATCAACCTTTACCTTAATAGTTTCACCTTCGGGTAATGAAGATAACAAACTATTCAAAGACCCAAACTTCTGAAACAAGTTTTCCAAAGCATAATCCATAAGAAAAACTTTTTTGGGATTGGTGTTGGACTCTTTTGTTTCGGGACCACTTTCAACTACTTTCACTTTGTCTTGCATGTTTTCTTTGGCCGCTTTGTTGTTATCATCGTTCTTATTTGATATGAATTCCTAATCAATATTAAAGCAAATCTATTCAACAATTTTCTATATTTTGTATGGCAAACTATGTAAATTGTTATAAAAATTATTTACCTTGTCATGCATGAGTGAAACCAAGTCTTTCGGCCATTGGGTAAAGGTACCGTGAGCATGCTTAAGTTTCTTGATGACTGAAGAAAGAACTAGAACTGAGAATTCATTGAACGCGTCAAAAAAATCATCAACACTTACCCTCACGTGATCTGGAAGGAGGTTACTATGATGATCAAGGATTAACTCCGGATAATATGTACCTTCAGCGACAATGACTTTCTTAGAGTCATTTTTCAACAATGATAGCCGACATGGAACCGGTTCCTTACAAAGATAGAAAAAAATCATTAAAAAAAAAAGAAAATTGAGTTACAAAGTTAAAAGTATATCGTAGTCATAAATTATTACAAAAAAAAAATAAAAAAAAAAATTTAAAAAATAAAATAACAAAGTTTTGGATACCTATATGTTTGCAAATGGATCATCACCCACTAATTGGCAACTACTAGGATTTTGTGGAGTCGTTCGGCCTATGTTATTCATTTCCATCAATTCAGTTTTAATTTGAATACCAATATGTTTATCAAATAACATAAACTTCTCTTGAACCATGGAATCCATTTTAGAGTCCATCTCCTGCATAGTCTCCTCTCGTACCCTCCGGGCTACTCTTGCCTCTAATTCTTCCAACTCAGCATCTCCGATTTCCCTACCACGTTGGCCACTACGGTTTAATGTCAATCCCACTGCCAAATGCTATTGCCCGACCATTACAATATTTTTTTCCCAAGTGCACGAGATAAGATATCATCATGCCTATTAGGAACAAATTTTCCATCAGCTTGTTGATTTCTCTAATTATCCTACAAAAAGACTTCAAGTTAGAAAACTTTGGTTGCAATACATAAACTTAACAAAATATATTCAAAATTGAAATAAAGACTTATTATATACTTACAATGGATTCTTTCACCACTCTTGTTTTCTCTTCCGGCAAATAAGGATTTCTCTTATCATCTTCTATTGATCTTGCTAGAAGCTAAGCATATGTCCTATCCGACAAACTAGACACAACCGAAGAACAAGATGAAGTACTGGATGCTGAAGATGCTGTGGGAATATACCCTTTTCTACGCCATACAATATTCATTTCAACATATGATTTGGCTCCTAAATGGTGAGGGTATTCGTTGAAAGACTGGCTTTGTCTTGCCTTCTCACTGATTTCCTATTTTCAGGAGCATAAATGGAGAATAGTACATAAGAATCCGTTAACAAAGTATTAATAACATGCATGATCATTGATATTAATACACACAAACCTTAAAATCATCTATACTATGCTCCTCCACAAATGTTTTTCACATATCTTCAGATATGAAATCATAGTGTACATACGACATTCTTTTCTCCTTTGACATATTACTGGTACATGTGATCCAACCACTGACCAATTTTTTTTTTTAAAATCTCTCCAAGTTCTATGACAAGTGCGTAGGACCTTTTTTTTCTTGTCTTCATCTTCTTCGATTTGAAACTCTCTCTACAAAAAAAATTAAAATCCATAAGAAAAAAAGTTAGCAAATAATTTTATCATATTCAAATAAATTGTTTTCATCATATTCAAATAATGTAAAATTTATCATATAATAGTATAACAATAAAATTTAATGGTGAATATTACCTTAACATCTTCCCACAAAGTGTCTTTTATTCCTTGTGGAACTTGATTCCAATCTTTATACAATATAGACACTTTTGCACGGCTTATTTCACCAAGATGATTTTTGTATGCTTTTGCCCACTTTCCAATGGGTCGACACAATTCATCCCATTCAAGCACTCTAGGAACCCCAGGCATGGATTTCAGGCCCTTTGAAGGACCTCTTGGCTTCTTTTTCTTCTTTTTAGAGTCGGTTGTTTGTTGCTTTGATTGTGATTGATTGTGTGGCTCATCTTCCTCACCTTGCGAAGACATGGAACGATTATGCATATCCTCATCCTCCATTATTACTTACCTGAAAAAAAAGACATAAATAAATTAAGACATCGATTTGTATCATTTTTAAATTATAAACTTGTACACATAATGTAGACACCTAAAAATGTCTCCCCAAAATCAAACCCGATGATAAATAACCTTTCACCGCCATTGTTGGTCGGGTTTAGTATTTAATCCTGAGAGTGCTTAAAAAATCGTATTTTATTAAATTCTTATTTTTGAAAGGTCAATGGATCAGTCTTGGTGTTTGGTAAAAGCATAGTTTTAATTTTAGCCCAAGCTTGTTAATTAATTTTAAACCCAAACCTTTTTATTTTATTATTTTATTATTTATTTTTGGCCCAAATATTTTATTTTATTTTATTATTTTACCCTGAATAATAAAAGTCAGGAAAAAGCCAGAAATTATCAATCTGCACTTAAAAAGCCGAAAGAAATTAGGGTTAAAAATGAATTTAGACGGAAAAATGGACTGGAACTGACCGTGTCACGGAACAGCCTGACCGTGTCACGGGAGCCCTTCCCGTCTGACGGGGGGACTTCCCGTGACACGGGAGGTCTGCCGTGACACGGGAAGTTCCGTGTCCTTTCCGCGTAAACCCTTAACGCGTTTTCCGTTCCGTTTTCTGAAAATTTCCCGCGTCACTCCAAAACTAACCGTGTCACGGGAATGTGTACCGTCTGACGGTACTGTCTAACCGTGTCAAGGTACAGTCTGACCGTGTCACGGGATACGTTTTCAGGGTTTTTTTTCTTTTTAGGGTTTCGTGTGCTCCTTAACACATTTTCCCTATAAATACCCCCTCATTTTTGATGTACGGGGCAACCTGAATTTTATTATTCTTATTTTCTCTCTTCTATGCTATTAACCTAAACACTAGCCTACCCTTTTTCACATCAAAATTCCTTCTTCAAGCACTCAAAGGAGTCCATATTTCACTCGAGGTTCTGTCCTTAAGCCAAGACGTGAAAGGTAGAATCGTTTGAGGGTTTGGCCCCAAAATCAACCTTATTTTATTTAATTTAATTTAATTATTGTTTTATAATTTCCTTGAAGTTACTAACTCGTTTATTGTTTTGTAGTTGCAAACAAACAGATTTAAAGTAAGGATCATGCTCCTTTTATTTTTATTATTTTTCTAACAATTTTATGTTGTTGGAATCCTGATTAAATTGGTTTTAATATTAATGTTTATTCTTTTTTTTTTATGATTACAATATTTCATGTTTAAAGGGAATATGTAATTGAATATTACGCCTAATAAGATAATTTGGACAACCGGTTTAGGATCCTTTTTAATCTTATTGTTTAATCAAGTGATCACCAAATTTTTAGAATTATGTGTGCATTAATTTTAAACCAATTTAGCTAAACAATAGTTTGGAGCGAATTGAATATTTGTTTGTATGCCTTTGAGATCACATGAATGCTTTTCAATATAAGAATCGAGTAGAGACCAATACGGGCGAATGTGACTCCACGACTCACTTCGTGCCATCATCCCCGATCCTCCTTTCGTGGTTCCGAACCATATGGAGTTAGTAATCTCATGGATTATGAATGGGTGTAACCTTCACGGGTCAATCGTTGTTGCCTTCGTTGTCCCTTATTCGTGGTTGCCTTTTATGATCCGTGAACGATTTACAAGTTCCTTAAAAACTTGTTGGCGGCTCCCTACTTTATGTGTCCCTAATCGTAATGTCAATTCCCACTTCCTATGAGTGCCAAGCATATTCACAACATGCTTTTTACGTAGGCGCACTTCGAGCGACGCCTACAATTTGGCGACTCCGCTGGGGAGGATTCTTAATTATTTATCGATTTGAGTGATCGGTGTTTAATTAAGATGAGTGGATGAGACTTGAAAGATTCTTGAAAAAATATTCCTGTGATTAATTTGGCATTTTTGCATCTGCATAGACGTTTTAACTTCGTATTCAGGTCTGTCCCGTTGGAAAAATTGGATAACTTGGTTGCGCGCAAAAGCAAACAGGGCACCAGTCATATTTTCTGACTACCGTGTCATGGCAGAGTCTGCCGTGTCACGGTATAGTGTACCGTCGGTACACTGTACCGTGACACGGGAATTTCTGCCGTGTCACGGCAGTCCTAAAATCTGACCGGTGGCTTATTTTCTTTTCTCACAGTCGACTTCCTTCGATTTTTCTGAAAAAACGTATGTGTTCTACATAAGTCTTAGCCCCGGGGGATTTAAGCTCTATCAACCCAAAAACGCTCATGGCAATAAGGGTTCATCCGAGTCATTAAATCCACCCAAACCATGGAGTCGAGTTCGATTTCATCACGAACTCGCGGCGCCGCCCGTTAGCATACACCCTCAAGGGAGGCTGCCTTGCTAACGCGTCCAAACTCTTAACCATGGTACCCTTTTGACACCCAAAAGCTTGACCAATAGTTGAACATAGATCTTGACTTTAGGTTGCGAACTTTTTTTACGTCATCGTGCCTAAATGCTATGTGGTTATTTGGTGCTAACACTCATGCGTTTGCTCTTTTTGTTTAACCCATGACCGAGGGTTTTTATTCTCACATAGTAATTTGTACGGACTTAAAATCGATTAAAATCTGAAAAATCACAAAAATTGACCTGGAACTGCGCACCGTGTCACGGTGAACAGTGCCGTGACACAGGAAATGGTAGACTGCACCGTGTCACGACAGTCTGCACCGTGACACGGTGCCCAGGAAA